ATGCAAAATAATGAATGAATATCCACAGCCAATTGATTGGCACGCGGTCATTAGCAATCCATTTATCTAATACAGGTGCAGCGCGATCCGCCCGACCGACCCACGCCGTACCCGGCGACATGTCCCGCGGGGAGGGAGGTGCTCCCCGGCGCGAGGGTCGCTAAAACAACACCGCCGCAGATCTGCCATCCGATTTATCAGCTGTATGACACCGCGATAACGCCCGGTATCCTGTCTGCCGGCCGCTGCGCTGAAAGCTGACGCACAGAGAGCTGTTTCCGCTCCGCTGAAGCTGCCGGCCGGCCGGCGCGGCCCCAGTGATCCGCCGGTGATTGTATCTCTCGGCGGCGGCCTCGGTGGCACCGGAGCGCGCTGGCAGTCACCCCCAGCTCGTGCCGGAACGCTGCACCTGCCTGGAGCCGTCCCAGCGATCCTCCAAAGCCCGATACATGGCCGGCGGCCAGCGGCGATCCAGGCGGGGATTCGCCGGCTCCCAGAGCGCACAGCACGCGTCCTGTTTGCTGTGATGCCGCCGTTAGCTGTCAGACGTAGATAAAGATAAACAGCTGCCACAAGTGCTCCAAGTGTCGAGTAGGATTTGTGTTACGATGCATGACGCAGCCCACAGGAAATAAAGGACGAAGATAGCGAGAACGTCAAACGGAAAACACTGATTTGTGCGATTTGCACATCATCATGGGTGTTAGCGACCATGGCGAAAATTTCCTTAAGCGCCTGCTGTAGACGAGATATCCTGATGGCTCGAACAAGCTTTCCGGCTTATGATGACAACAACTCGTCATCCACTTAAATGAAAAACTCGACCTGCGATTCATCACCATATCACTCTGCATCTTTTGTGGAACGATTAACTGGGGCTTTGTCAGAGTCCGTATATGATTAATGGCTGAATAAAATGAATGCTGTTGATATGTATCTTGGGTTAAACGCCGTGCCGTCAGTTATGGTATATTGCCGAGCGCAGAACACTGACAGATGTGGGGGATCAATTTGTCGTTCTCTGCACGCCTGTCTATACGCTGGCCAGGTCAGCATTGGTCATGATGTTTAACAATCCTAAATCAGCTGGGTCCTGTACTGTATCTCGGTCCGATTTTTCACGTCCTAAGCTACCTGGCAGTCCGATGTCTCACATCCTCTGCAGAAAGATGCCGGCTGGAATCCTCACGGTCGTGTATCGTACTCAGCGTAAGTCGTACTGGCTCTATATGCCTCACTTCCTAGGCAATATGCCTGGCTGCGATTTCTAGTTAGAACGTATGCTATGCAGTTTGGCTGCGATGTCTCACGGTCCTATGTCTCACTGCGCTTTGCCGTACTGGCTCCAATGGCTGCGAAGTCTCACAGACCGATGTCTCACGATCCTGTGCCGTACTCCGGTGCCGTACCCATCCCCCGGCGTCGTTCGGTACGACTCCCGCCGCGCCCAGGTATGTCCGCGCCGCAGATGGACGGAGTGCCCCCGTGTAAGTCGGTGTAAGAGCTGGCTTACCGGCTGTTCGGTGCATGTTGACCTCCCCCGACGGCGCCGGGTCGCGCCGACACCACTCAGAGCCACCCCACGAGGCCGAGATGGCCGTCGGACGGAACCCGGGACTCCCACCAGTAGCTCTGTCGTCACCGCGCGGGAGAACTGCTGGAGGAGAATGAGAGATAGACGAAGAAACGTCTGCCACGTACGATAGACCCAATGCAAAAGTCATGATTCTATTGTACGCAAATCATTGTTTTGCATGCGTCGTTGAAAAATAATAAAGCGTGGACTGTGGTGTATGTCCACGAAAATCATGAATACATAAAAATACACTTAGAGGTTCATGCAATGTCATTGTTTTACATTGTGAACATTTCACACGAGCTGTTCGGCCTTCAATGCAAGCCAAACCTAAACGAGGTCTGAGAAGCGCTCGATATTAGGTACAGTAAACCCTCTGTCACCTCTGGACTCCGTGCCTCATATTCGTCCGGCATGGGTATGATGGGTGCTGACAGAGTGCGGCACGTTCCGCGCCAGATGCTCGGCCACGTCTGATGGTGCCGTCAGAGTGACGGACGGATCAACGCCAGCCGGCTGGCGTGAACAGTGCTTTAGTAGCACCGGCGGCACGCTCACTAAGAGCCCTCTGTTTACCTGTGGCCGTCCTGCGGAGATGATGGCGCCGGCCTATGCTAAGCAGGTGTTATTGCACGCTGCCGGAGGTGCAGGCGATCCTCCGAGTACCGATTAGAGGGCTGTCAAATTGGCGGTCTGACGCGCCGGACATACGCCCGTGTCAGACTGCCAGTGGACGGGACATTTTTCACGGTCTGTATGAACGACAGATGAATATGGAGACAGCGACAGCCGTGTGCGCGGCGCAATGACGGCTATCAATATGCTGCGCCACTTCTCCAATGCAGTAATGCGTATCATAAAGACCGGGAGAATTTATCAAATTGCGTCATCAAAGACGGCTTGCGATTATCGTGGATTTCGTTGGCAGATTGCCAAGCAAACAGCCGAAGCAGTTTGCAAACGCGCTAGCAATAATCAGTGTTCGGGATCACTAGTCGTTTCTGTGCCCTTTTTTCTTATTGTATTTAGGAAGAGTAATCGGCCCAACCCAATGAAGTTGAATTCTTGGAAAAGAAAGTCCACCTATCACCTAGAAATTAGAAAACCACAAATTGTTGTTATTGCCTGCTTTTGCAAACAGTATACTGACATCCTGACATCAAGTACTGACATCAGGCGTCAGGCACTGGCTGGATGTCCTCGCCGCTGCTAGTGGCTTAGTTATCTTGCTGGAGCAGTACCTCCCCTAGATACAGAAATGTGCCCTGTATTATCATGTAACACGCGTTTAACTGCACTGTAACAATTTGTCTCAAGTCACCGAAAGTCATGAATCGTTTGTCTCTGTGACAGCGGCGGTTTGCATCGGCTCCAAGTAGAGAAATTCGCCGACACATTAATCCATCTTCTGGACAAGTATCGCAGGCGCAGATCCGCCGCCGCTGCGGCTCATTTGCCGCTGAACACCTGCATTATGCATGTGTCTCCATGAAATGGAGGAGTCGTGTCACCGGGGCCGTGTTCGGCAGCTGCTGATGGTGCTGATGGTGCTGACGTAAGCGCCGCATTGACCAATAGTGTGGCACGGCTCGGGGACACCAACGATGTGTGTCGAGGGTGTGACAGACTCGGGAGAGACTTACAAACACTCCGCTGTACAGGCAACAACAAAGTATCGGTAGAATTGAAAAAGAGCTTCCGACAGCGACACGATTTCTGGGGTTGTAAGTAGTCAGTCACATCACCTGTTACGCATAGAATTGCAGCTTCATGCTTGGAATATAATCACTGACATCGCTTCTAAGATTCACTTAAAACACTTCGCCTTGCCGACTTTGATTCACTGTCCAGAAAAGGCCATCTCTACACAGAAACTGATGAATATTTTACCAGCGCAGTGATCGAAGATCAAACGGCGCATGTGTTCAGGTTTACGACCTGCTTATCGCATCTGAAGCACTCGCCACCCACTCGTATATCAGCCAAATGCGGCGCGCAGCCAATGGACCCGTCACGCCCTCAAACTGTTGGACACACCTCCTGACGTCACCATCAGTCATCACGGACGAGCGACAGCCAGAAGTGACAGGCCACATCAGCTCAGCCAGTGGTGACCGGTCATATCTGCCTACGGACGAGCCGATGACCGGTCACATCTGCTCACGGGCAAGCGGCAGGCAGTAGTGAGAGGTCACATCTGCTTACTAATAGATCATTGTGAGTTAGCGTTCGTGTTTATCGCGAGTGCCCTACCACCGATGCAAGTATCAATGCGGTATATTTCGATTACCTAAGACATTTTTTTCTGATCGTAATTTTTATCTTAATCAAAACTATATTTTTACCTAACCTTCTAAATCAAATGTACTGACCTGTATGTAAATATAACTGCCTATCTAGAATATTTTTAAATAATGGTTTTCTTGCTAATGTATGTTGCCGCTAATTGCACTATTTCGAGCACTAAATTTGTTACGCCTTATAAATACCTACTTCATAGGGAATGTCACGGGAGGAGACATTTGCTTTTATATAAGCCAAAGACGTGGCTATCGATTCAGTTGCCGCGCGAGGAAGCCCCTGATCGCCCTTATCATCAGCATCTGTCTGTGTGGCTTCCTTTGGGCCGTGACTTGAGTGACATGGATGTGAGGGTCGCCGTCCTATACAAGCTGCTCGGCGAATCACCTTGTTCCTGTACATATAAGTGTAAGGTTCCCTCCATGGTCTTGCTTTTGCACATGTCAAGTATGATGGCCTCACGTCACTTATAAAGATGTATGGCTGGCGTCACGTTTTCTGGAATCCATCTGAGGACAGCGGTTTGATTGCTGAACACTGAGTGAACAGACCATAAACGGCCTAACATGGGTTGCCGTTCTCGGTCGTACGGCCATCCACGACGGTGGGTAGGGACACCGGTCCCCATGGGGACCCGCGGTGCGGTGACTGAGCTGAGGGTATACCGCTTCACTGACGACACACCTCTGGGTCACTGGCAACTCTGGCGGTATTGATTCATTGCAATGGCCTGCGACATAGATTTGTACTCCTGGGAGCTCTGCAACACTCACTGAAGACATGCATTCGTGACTCATAACAGCTCCGAAATAAAAAACACAGACTAGCTGCTGACTCTTGACAAGCGTATTTTGTTTATCACTACATAATTGGGCTCCAGTAGCGTTGCAAGTACAACACAGAGCTCCTCCTGGTTTATTCGCACCTCTCCTCAAGATCCCTTGCATTCCTTCCAGCGCTACGGATGTCCGTTGTCCATGAGTCTGATTAAATTCGATCAAATTTGATAGGCGAACATCGATGGAAGTGTGGGACATGTGATGCAATTGGTGTGACCGTAGCCTTAACTCCCCTGACTGCTGCTACTTGAATTCCTGTCTGATCGAGCTCTTTTTTATCGCAGGCACCCGCCGCCACGGACGACATATGATCAGCACGAGTCGCCTGCGTCAATCCTGACTGTAGCATCACCAGCCGTACCAGTACCAGTATTCAGACCAATATCAGACTAGTCTATCCTTCTCAGGCTTCCCGTTTCTTGACTATCAGCCGTGCCGCTTGCCAGCCTGACGTATGAAACGCAGCTTGTGCTGCCCAAATACTGCATCCTTTTCTCAGCTATGCTAGCATGGCATCAGCTGAACTAGCTCATGAATTGCCCTAACCAAGTACCAGTAGACAGCCTGTCCTAACTGGCACCTGCTCTGGCCTAAACTCAAGCCTATCCTGACCTGACCTGACCTGACCTGATCCGACTGTCCTCCCCCAGCCGGCCACCATGAGCCGGAGAGCGAGTCTGTTCGCGCGCCAGAACCCCGGCCGGCGGCGGGTGCGCTTCCCCGACGAGGTGGTTTTCGACGAGAGCGTCAAGGAGAACGACGCCGACGCCGTGGTCAGCATGCTGCGCCGAGCCAGCGTCGATATCGATGTCAACAGGATCAACTCGGCAGGTCAGTTGATCGGCCCCGGGAGGGATAGACCCCTTCGGGGCCAGAAGCCCAGCCCTGGGTGGGACCGACTCCTTTGGGGACAGTGAGTCCAGCCCCTGGTCGAGACAGACTCTCCGAGGACAGAAAGGACAAGTAAGTACGGCCCCGGACGGGACTGATTTCTCCGGGGGACAAGTATGTAAGTCCAATTCATTCCAGTCCCGGGTGGGTAGGACAGACTCCAGCCGGGTACGGCCGGCTCAGGTGATATGCTTCTGTGGTTTGGTTTTGTAATTAGGGTATAAAATGGCTCACCGTATTAAAAGAGAGGAGCGTGAAATATATGTAGAAGATTAAACTGCATTCGTTTGAGTTCAATGTTACATTTAGCAGCGAACTTAACAAATATAAATAGATATGTGGATTCATTTTATAAGAAATTTGTGTTTTTGCCAGAAACACGTCACTGACCTGGTCGCTTCGTTACACACAGAACAGCGTGTCCACTTTTTGTTCGCCGTTGAACAGAAAGAAGCATCGGTCTTTGTAGTTTGTAGTCAATTCCTTTTACGCCAAACACATCAACCTAGTTCATAGGGTTGTAAGGCTCAGGCTTTTTACACACCCGCACGCTATGCCCTGACTTTAATCAATAAATGTTCGTGGGCTTCTTGCGAGCGGCGATAGCTAGATACGGACATTGAGGTGTTTTGTGTGTCTTACGAAGTGAACAATCAAGTGAAAAAGTCGGGTCTGACATGACAGGCATTATTACGATACCAGCATGGGCCTCGCACTTTCACAGAGTGGCTAATCAATTTGCCCCGGGCTCCCTGCGACTATCACAGGCACTGGCCAGCAATCAGCGTCTCTGTCAGTTTGCCCTTCCGAGTATGGGAATCCTAATCTTGGTTTGCCTGTCTGAACAACCAAGCTATTTCTGCCAAAACAGATTTCATTCTAATCGGCACATCATCAGCTTTGCAGAGAGTCTCTGATTTCAAACTTGACTTTTGTGAAAGTTCGCTTGAACCTTCAGACAACATTAAAGTATTGGGAGTGAAAATAGACCAAACGTTATCCTGGCAAAAACACGTTACAGAAGTTTTACGACGCTGCTACTCTATTCTATCGTCCTTAAACAGGTTCCGGCGTCACTTTTCTGCTGAGGCTCTTATTCTGATTATCCAGGCACACGTCTTTTCCCAGATATTGTACTGCTTGCCAGTTTGGGGTGGGGCCTGCAAAAACCAAATATCTCGCGTTCAGAAAGTAATAAACTTCGCAGCCCGTGTAGTAACCGGAACACGCCGCCATGAGCACATCACACCCACCCTAAGTGCGCTTCAGTGGCCAACAATTGAAGAGCTCATCAAGGAGCGTGATTGTTTAAAAGTATTTCGCGCTTTGAATAACTGCGACGCCCCCAAAGCTCTAAAAAGGATGTTTCACCAAAGATCAGACATAACCACTCGAGTGACCCGCCTGGCATGTACCAATCGGCTCCACCTTCCAAAAGTGCGTCTGTCTATTACACAACGATCTTTCCCGTACCGAGCCGCAACTGAATGGAATCGACTTCCAATAGAAACTACACAAACAGCGTCAGAAAAAGAATTCAGGAAAAAACTTAGGTGCAAAAACGCGTGAACCATACCAGCTCACTTGCTCAGGGATAGTATCACGGATCGCGTATACTGTGTAATGTGTAGTGTGTACTCTGTGCCTTGCTGTGCGCCATGTAGTGTATGTTACCGTACGTTGGCACCTTACCGTGTACATCTGTGTGGAAATTTGTGTTTACATTACTGCCGTGTACATCTCTACCATGTTTAAAATGTCCTGAAAAACTGTGGGAACACGGACGGACATTTAATGTTAATACAATACAATACAATCCGTCCACTCTCGTAACAACCGAATAGTCATTTTTTTCAAAACACTTATAAAACTGCGAACGATCAGCCAACGTCTCTAAGCCAGCCTCCTTGTCGAAGTAGCTACTCGGATGTCCTGAAGTGAGTAACTCGCTTTGGTTCAGGACGCAGCCGACCCCACTGTAACTCGACCAGTTCCCAGTGAAGTAACGCGACCTGGACACGTGGCACGTGGCATCGCTCAGAGCTGAGGGCGCCACCCATGTCTGTCTCGGCGCCGGGCGCCACTCATGAATCCATGTGCCCGAAAACAGGGTCTCACAGCGCTCGGTAGCACGCTCGGGCGACGCTGGGGGATTAGTCAGAGCGACAAGACGGGGTTTTTATGACCGCTTGATGAGTGTATTTGTGCGCTTGTGTATGCAGCTTGCGCTAACCGGCGCGTCTTATTGCAGCCGGTGCTGACGTGAAAATATACAGATGAAGTCGGACGACTCCGACATCGTCTGTATGGCCCCTTGGCGCCGGCGCTTAATTGGTAAATGGGGTTTTGCGGAGGCATTAGACGGCTGCCCGGCTATTAAATGGTTCGTTGGAACTACTTGGACCTACTGAAACTTCTAACTTTCAATTTATGATGTGCTTTCCGCATTTCGTCCGGAGTTGCCGTGCATTCAGGGGCAACACGTGCATGCCTTTTTATAAACAATATGCATGAACGAGCTTTTGCGGACAAAATGTTGTTTTATGGCTACTTGAATGTTGTTTGTAATAACTCATAACTATTATAAATCCCTCTAAGTTCTCATTAGCTCTCTGTATCAGGGAAGGAGAATCTTCAGTTCATTGAACTTCTTTCTGTCAGCACGGTGACTCATAAACGGAGTCAGTTACATTCGAACACCGCCCGCTCTCTGCAGCTGCGTCCTTTGGAATCGGTCCAGCCTGCGGCGTGCGAGAGGAGCTCCCGGCTCCGCAAACCCGCGGCCCACGGCTTTCGGCCTACACGACGCACGGGCCACGGGCCAAGGCCCGCAGGCCCGACCCACACAGCTCACTCACGCGTGGCTTCGGAGAGTAGCACGGCGGCGACGGAGGCCACACCCTCCCGAGCCCAGTTTACGAAACCGGCGACACCGTCCCGCCTCAGGCTTTTGGTTACAAGACCTGTGTGGCCCACAGGTATAGCTACAGGATCTGCCGGACCCCGCTGTTTCCACAGAGACAAAAGAGCGCCGGGCGGCGGCGGACGGCCGCGCCGATTTGTTTTGGAGCCGGCGGTCGGCGGCGCCGCGGGTGTCTGGCTGATTAGTGCCATCCATCACAGTTACCGGTCCGGCGCCGGTGGTCCGCGCTCAGACAGCCGCTCAAATGGTCAGCTCTGGCGTAAAGCCGCCGCTGCTGTCAAATCCGGCCGGCGCGGCGGCGGCTGCCGTCCTAGCTCAGCTACCAGCCTACCATCGGCTCAGCTCCCCGAGCTCAGCCCTCGCCTGTCAGCTCAGTCGTCTGCGCGTGCAGACGGCCAAGGGAACACATCAGAGGCCCACCCGATCGGTGACGTCACAGAGGCTTGGTCGACGGTGTGGGTCTGGTCATGGTGTAAACAAACCATAGCCGCGAAAGCTGGGGAGCGGGGGGGGGGGGGACTGAGCCCCTCCCAACTTTTTAACCGGGACACTCGGTAATGTATCAACTTCCACCTTGTGGCATCAAAATTTATGAGCACCTAATTCGACAGATATTTTCTTGGACTTGTCATTGGCAAGATCATTTCTCGCAAACACGGCCGTCACAAGTGCACCTTTCCCATACGCTGTCAAAGGTATTATGCTGTGAATCGGGACGGGAGACGTGATAGGTTCGTACGTCATCCAATCTGCGTCCGGTAATGAAGATCATAAGAAAAATGTAAAAGAAAATGTAATTGGTTTCGGACGTTAGCGCCAGGTACAGTCGGCATTATTTCGCCACAAGCAATACCTATAACCCTTTTATACCGAAAAGCGAAGCCAGCTTCAGGGCGAAAGCCCTTACTTGCGCCAAATATTTCGCAATTGTTGGGTGGATTGCCATAAATTGTTGGTGTCCATCGATGAAATTCCCCGGCCAACTTACTTCTCTCTACATATTTCTGTCCTGTGTCCACTAAGCTAGAGTCCAGATCCCAGCCAGTCAGTGTTGTAAGTCAATCTGCGTTCCGGTGACACGGCTGGTGTGGTGTGGCGTCGAAACCATGGTTACTGCTGCACATCAGCATTAAATATCGGGCGAAGACGTGCCGTGATACAAACGCGCCGCTGTCTCTGTGATAGCCACGCTGCTATGCCGTGGCGCCGCCGTTCCGGAGACAGCCACACTGCTGTGCCGTGGTACATTGGTTCCGGAGGAAGACACACTGCTGTGCCGTGGTACAATAGTTCCGGAGAAAGCCACACTGTTGTGCCGTGGTACATTGGTTCCGGAGAAAGCCACACTGCTGTGCCGTGGTGGTGTGGTACCGCCACTCTGGAGATAGCCACAATGTGGTTTCGCGGCATAGGAATCCACCGTTTTGTGTGTAGGCACATGACTGTGTCGTGATAGGATGAGTGATAACGTCCTACCGGCGATAGCCTGTTTGCAGTGCCGTGACGTTTAAACGACGTTCCGGAGATGCTTCACTGCTGTGTCGTGGCGTGGCGTTCCCATTCCCGGAGATAGCCTGTCTGCCGTCCAGTGATGTGGTACGCGTGGTTGAAGACCCTGGTGGGGCTTCTGCTGACCGTCAACTACTCCCTTCCGCTGTTCACCATCCTCAGCGACCGTCGTCTCTGGGAAGAGCCGGTGGCCGTCCTGGCCGGCAACATGTCCTTCGTCTGCCTCTTTATGGGCGTCAACCTGTCCCTGGTCGGCGCCTACGACCTCCTGCAGCTGGACACGGTAGCTCTGTGCCGGACTCTGCAGTACACCGGTATAGGGTTTGGAGTCGCCTCCAAGATGGCCCAGCTGTGTATGGCTGTAGACCAGTTTGTGGCCATCTCCCGACCGCTGCAGCACTTGTCACTGATGGTCCGCGCGCGCTGCTGGCTGGTGGCGGCCACCTGGGCCACCTGGGCCGCCCAGTTCGCCTTGTCGTCTCTGACCGGAGCTATGGGGCTGGTGACT